GAGAGAGAGAGAGAGAGAGAGAGAGAGAGAGAGAGAGAGAGAGAGAGAGATTTGTGGCTTAGCTTTCCTTTAAATGTAGTGAGTAACATGTCACTACCAATGACAGTTTAACAAATGCACGACTCCCACAGTGAACCAGGTTTCCATTGGATACAAGAAGTCCCCTAAGGTTCATCTTTTGAAGACTTCATCTTCAGCTGGTGGTGACACTGAGAGGTGGCTGGGTTGCAGGAGTGTTAATGTTACTGGTGGGTTAATCCATGGCTAAATAGGGGGTTCTGAGGTAGAGCTAGTTAAGAAAATGAGTCACTGAGGCTGTCTTTGAGGGTGCTCTCTTACACCCTAACAGTTTCCCTCTCTCTGCTCTCTGGCTTCCAGAAGGCGAGCAGCTCTCCTCCACCTTGCCCTTCCGCCACACTGTCTTTGTTCTGTCCCGTGCCTAAAAAGCACTCACCGTCCGCCAGCCGACAAGGCATGGGCGCATCTGAAACTGGGGACCTCTCTTCCCCAACAAGGAAAACCCTTCCCCCTTAAAGGCATTTTTCTTAGGAGTTTTTAACCACAGCCGCAAACTGACACAACCAAGTAGGGGACTACCGACGTTGTATTTAAAGAGTTTCCGCTCTGGCGATGGAACAAGGCTGAATCCTTCTCAGCATCCTGATACAAGAGGTAGAGCAATGGGGGTGTGAATATCCTTCTGATGGGGTGGGAGCAGAAGAGGGGAACCCAGTGAGTTCCTTCTTTCCTATCAGGAGAAGGGTTAGTAGCTGACAACAGGGGTTAAGGGTAAGAAGCAGGCTGGAAGAATGTACCTCAGGTTTTTTGTTCTGTTTTGTTTCTGACAGGGTCTCGCTGTGAAGCCTTGGTTGGACTGGAACTTGTTATGTGGATCAGGTCACCCTCAAATTCACAGAGATCTGCCTGCCTCTACCTCCCCAGTGTTGGGATTAAAGGCAATTACTACCCTATCCCGCCAATCCCAAACTTTTAATAAAAAAATGCAGCATGTGAGGAGGTTGACTATGCTATAGCCTTTGGAAAACAGGGTGATTTCGAATCACTTTTTCTTTGTACTTCATAGGAACTATGAATCCATTCAGAAAAGTTGCTTCCTCCAGTCAGAGGTTGGGGTTCTGTGGCTCACTTTTCCCAAAACCAAATGGATAAGTCTTATCTGTTGTTTACTGATTTGTGACAGTATTAGTTAAGCCTTTTACTATTGGGAAGAATAGATATTCAACTGAAATCACCTTAAGCAGAGGGGAATTCATTGATTCATAGAATCAGAACACCGCTTAATCCAGGAACATAAATAATGCCAAAGCACTGAGCCAGTGTCCCACGGTGCATGTTTTTCTAAAATGACTATCTCCTGCCTTGGCTTATCTTTGCTTGGTGGCATTCTGTAGTTGGTGTTTTTGTTTTGTTTCTTTTTTTACTCTTTTCTCTTTGGGGAGACCACCACCCAGCTCCCAAATAATCACACACTTTGAGGCTTATTATGAATACCCAACCTTAGCTTGGTTTATTTCTAGCCAGCTTTCCTTAACTTAAATTATCTTGTCTACCTTCTGCATTTATATACCTTTCTTTGCTTCTTACTCTGTGGCTTGCTGTGTAGCTGGGTGGCTGGCCCCTGGAATTCTCTCCTTCTCTTTTTACTCCCCAATCTTTTCTTCTCAGATTTCTCCTTGTATTTATTCTCTCTGCCTGCCAACTTTGCTTGTCCTGTCTCCGGCCTTGCTATTGGCTGTTAAGTTCTTTATTAGACCAATCAGGTGTTTTAGACAGGCAAAGTAACACAGCTTCACAGAGTCAAACAAATACAACATAAAAGAATGAAACACATCTTTGCATCATTAAACAAATATTCCTCAGCATAAACAAATATAACACATCTTAAAATAATATTCCATAATAGGACTCCCAAGCAGGTTTTATTCAAGTGGCAAACCATTCACATCCTCCCAGCTTAGCAATATCTTGAACATGGGATTTTTTTTTCTACTCACATTTGTACATAAATCATTGAAAAGAATGTAAATTGCCATGCTTGGGTTAATAACCCAGCCTGTAGACCAAAGGGTAGAATAATCTGATTGGCTAACCTGGGTCACCTGCTCACCCTGTTTGAAGGAGTAGGAGAGACTCCATGTATGAAAGCCCAACCAAATTACATGGTGTGAGGTGTAGTTGAAAGTTTTCTATGGTCCCACCTGGCCCCACAGTCCCATAGCAACTTATAAAATAACCACTCAGAGGCTTAATATTATTTACAAACTGTATGCCTATGGCAGGCCTCTTGCTAGCTAGCTCTTATATCTCAAATTAACCCATTTCTATTAATCTATGTTTTGCCACATGTTCCATGGCTTTACCGGTCTGCTGGTATGTGGCTCCTTGGGTGGCAGGCTGGTGTCTCTTCTGCCTCTGCCTTTCTTCTTCCCGTCTCTCTCTTCAATTTCCTGCCTGGCTATAACCTGACTCGCCATGGGCCAGAGCAGCTTCTTTATTAACCAGTCATAGCAACACATATTCACAGCGTACAGAAAGACATCTCACAGCAGTGAGGGGAGAATTCCTAATGGAATTAGGAGACTAGATAGGGTGGGGTGAGGAAAGCTAGACCAACAAAACCACAACCAGCAACTTAGATTTTCAGCTTTAATTTTCCTTATCAGTGCTGTTCAATGTCCATCATAAGCACACCTTATGAGCAGGCTGCTTCAGTGTGAGTTACAACTATGAGCAAGTTTGTTTTTCTGTAGCTGCAGGGTTCTTATGGTGATGTGCCTCCTGCTATTATCAGTCACTTACACCCATATAGCTTTCATGCTTTACAAAGTGTTCCTACACGAAAATGATTGCATTCCATTTATACAGCAACATGGGAAGTACACAGGGCTGCTGCCATTGTTCCCATTTTCTAAGTGAGGACCTCACGGAGACTAGCGATTTCTCCAGGTAACATGAATGGGAAATGGTCAGCTCCGCTGGAAACACAGGCCTTCCAGCTCCCCAAGATCTGGACAAGAAGAAGGTGAAGCTTTGGGGAGCTTAGGAGATGATTCTGATATCATACAGTGACTCTATCACTGAGGCAGAATTAGAGTTGGAGATCTTGATTTTCCTCCCAAGTTCTCATGACTAGCTAGTCGGATCCCAAGAAGATTTCTACCCAGGAATCTCCTGTCCAGAAACGACGCCAAAAGGTTCTGTTTCAAAATGCATTTGGTAAAGACCATGCAGCAGATTTGTCTCCGGCACACAGGGCACCCTGGAATGCTACACATGCTCACTCGATTTCCAGACTCCTTTTAAAGGAGCCAGTACAAGAGATTTGTGTTTATGAATTAAACACCGTGCTTGCCTTGAAAAGAGAATTACTATACATCCTTGAGCTGCTCACATGTGAGACAGACATGCTGGTCCCAGGTTGCAAACACACATCCAAATGTTCATCCTGTTCACGGGGCCATTAAACATTTTGTTAAAGGTAAGTTAACTCCTTTTGAGGGGTGTGAATAGTGAAGGGAGGATGAAATGTACGCCCGGAGTTTCAGACGCTAAAGAATTGGATTAGAAGGTGTCCTTAGTACAATATAACTGGTTAGAGCTACCAACTGGGCTCTGGTCCAACAAACACCTTATTGCTTTACAGAGGAGGGAGAGAAATAAACCAAGCAGTCCAGACAATGAGAGATTAAACAAAACGAAACAAGTCCTTATGGCCATAGGTATCAGCCTATAGTGCTTTGCCTTGTGCTGTTCGTGACTGTGCATTATGGAGCACTTAGGGGTGGTTGCTAATGGACTCTCACTCCCTCCTGGAGAGTGACTTGAACAGGAGACTCTGTGACTCAGGTGCAGACGCTGCCTGTATTAGTGAGGGCAGAATGATGCTTAACTCTCTCACAGGGGTGTAGTGAGGCTTAATTAATTGTTGGGGAGGCACTTTGAGATTCTGGGATGAAAGGCACTATATAATGATAATAATTTGCATCGACAAGGTACATTTCTTCCGTGGAATTCCGAGCACTTTACAAACATTAATTAATCCTCATAACACTCTGGCAAGGCAGGTAAGTTTTCCCAGGGCACCCTAAACAAATCCACCATATGAGTGGAAAGGCGGCAACTGCCACGAACTAACTTTAATATTTATTCGTGGTGGGGACTTCCAGAAAGCTTGATGTGAACCCTGCTTTCCATTAGTCCAAGCGATCTGCCGCTTGCTTCTGATTATCCACAAATATCGTATTCTGCGGGAGCGCTAATCATTTGGCTTGGGGGACACGTGTCCTGAGCAAAGCTAGTCATAAGCAGCTGTCATTCCAATGGATATTAATGCCTATTGTCTCCCATTCTGCAGCTCTGCGCCTCCTCGATGCAAAGAGAATGGTGCAGAGGGGGTAGGGGGAGGCAGGCGACATCTGTTTCAAAGACAGTCTGCAGCCATGCTGGAGAGAACGCACCTGGCTTCCACTTTCAAACCCATGTAACCAGTGGCTTCCTGGCCTCTCTTTGTCACCAGCAGATTTCATATTTTATATTCTGTTTTTTTCCCCCCTCTCCACTCGGCACTGGGGAAACAGAATTGGGGATGGGTAAGGAGGGAGTCTGAGTTGCATACAAAGAGGCAACCCGCCTTTCTAGCACGAAGGGGCTGTTATAAACCAGCGATGCAGAAGCCGCTTAAGTGTCAGGACCCAAACAGCTCCCCCAAACCCCGGCCGGCCATTCCACATCCGAAATAAACCGGAGAGTGGGAGAACGATCCTCCGGCTAGACGGACGACTTCAACAAGCTGAGCGGTTGGCTTGCCTGTGTTGAATGGCGCTCTGACGACCATACCTCTGCCCCCCTTATCCTGGCTTCAGTTCTGCACACACCCATCCACTGCAGCTTTCCAGATCGAGAAGGAAGAAAGAAACTTGCTTGCTGTCACTCCCCACAGGCGCCCGTGCTCCAAGACAGCTGTCTTTTGGCCAGCCTCCTGGGCTGCAAGAGTGTGGCGCCAATGAATCAGTGTGTCATGGGGGTGGAAGCGAGTTCCCTGACAGGGATGGGAGTGTTCTCTCTCATGGCTGCCTGTGATCAAAAGGAAGGCTGGCAGCCTCTTGACTTTGCATTTGATGATGACTGAAGGCAATGGCTCAGACCAATCTGCCTGCCCAGCCTCAGTTTCTTCTGCGCAATGAGAAAATGGAGGCACATTGTTTCCTAAAGTCTCTATTAACTCTGCTTTGCAATGGGAGGCTGATTTGACACAAATTTCCCAACTTGCTCTTTTTGCCAAAACTCAACCAGCAATATAAGTGTGTGTGGATAGTGATTGGTTCTGCTTTTGAGATGCACGCAACACCTGAGAAGGTCATGTTTCCTCATCTGTTTCCCTGTGGATGCTCTGCAAGTGTTTTCACCTTCTCTGTGTGTCATGACACGAAAAAGTTGGAAAACACTGTTCTCCTGACTGGTCGCCAGATAAGTAAACAGGGGCAAGAAACATTGAGGAAACCTGCTCATTGTTGTACAGTCCTGAGTCTGAATCTGAAGACTGATCTCTTTATGACTGTACCCAGAGGTAAGGCTGCTGCCCATTCATGTGAATGAATGGAGGAGCTATTTTAAAAATACCCATATTGGGTTGGAGAGATGGCTCTACAGTTAGGAGCATTGGCTGATCTTCCCCTGGAACCTGGGTTCAATTCCCAGCAACCATATGCCTGCTCACAGCTGTCTGTAACTCCAGTCCCAGAGGATCTGATGCCCTCTTCTGGTCTCTGTGGGCACCAGGCACATGTGTGGTGCACAGGCATGCACCCATACACATAAAAATAAAAAATAAAGAGAAAAAAAATACCCATGTCCATCACCAGATTCTGATCTCCTAAAGGGAGGTAGGATCTGGGCGCTGATATTTCTTCAGGCTCCCCGAGTAATTTCAGTGTTCACTAGCATTGGGTACCAAAGATGAGGGGTGGAGGCTGCTGCTG